CCCTGTACCAGTTATACTGATGCACTCTTCGATGCTCGAAGAAGGTATTCATAACAAACAGTCAGTTGTTTCCACGAAACCTCAGCAGCTTCATGTCGATACTGTTGAAGCCGTTCCTCACGATCACTTTTTCCACTTTTTAGTGCCTGTTCTGTCATGCGTATTAAAATCGTCCGTTAGAATGAGAAAATTTGTATTTGGCACTTTGGACAGAACACACTGCACTTCCTCAAGGAATGAATCATATTCTCCCTCCAAATTGTGCGCATAGACCTGTACCAAGGTCATCGATATAGCATGTTGTAGCTTCAGTCGGAGGATTACCACCCTTCCGGCTGATAGGCTTCCAATCGGTTATTCTATCGGCAAGGTTGGGTTCTACCAGATCGCCAACACTGGCCTGACCGCGAGTCGTGATATCGACGCCTGAGTAGAACAGCTTCCATCCACTGAGGTTCAGGAGTCCAGAGCCTGTGCGTTTTGTTGAAGAGAGTCCAACAATGTCGAGTTGGTACTTCGTGGCTTCATCAACTAATTCACGTTCTTTTTCTCTGAGTGAGGATATGTTCCAATTTCCGACTTTAAGCTCCCACTGGTGGTGTCGTTTTCTTGAAGCTTTTCCTGACGTGCTATAGTGGCATCGCGCTGTCTGCCTCCTCCGTTCAGAACGGGTAGCGACTCCGTTGCTGACTGGTTTCTTCGTCGTCGTTCCGTCGGTCTTCGTCAGTCACGCTGTTGTGCTGCTACGACCCCGGCTATCAGAAGGCAATGAACAGGTTCTGATCGCTGACTTTTTGCGACCTGTTTCAGTCCTCCATCAGCCTATCCGTCTGTTGGTAACCTTTGTGGTATATGTTCGATGACGACAGTACCATGAAGGGCAAGTGACTAAGTTTTATGGAGACTTCGGCACGGTCTCCAACCGTTCTCTTTTCTCATCCTTCTTGGGATCGGCAACGACGAAGTGATGGAAAACATTTTCTTAGTAACAGTCAGGTTGATAGGCGCACGACCATTCGGGTATGAGAAATAATGATGGTGACTATGATAAGGGTGATTGTTAACTTAGGAGCGAAAAGTATTATGCGAAGGTCGGTTTTGCAAAATCCAAAAAAATGCGGATAGGCAAAAAACGAAGGATTTAAAGAAAAATAGCAAAGTGGTTCTTAGAGTGCT